AAATTACCATTAGCACCTTTTCTCCGACAATAGTACTCCCAAGGATGGATCTAGGGGGGGGGGAGGGGGGCGGCCGCACCCCCAAAATTTTAAAAAATATCATATATTATACTGGAAATTTTAAATTAATTTAAAATTATAGGAGTTCGCACCCCCAAATTTTTTTAGATAATTTCAAAATTATATAGAGTAGCCCTCCCAATTTGTAGTTTGATAAACATGTTCAGTGCTACTTGTGCAATCCTAAGAAACATAATTAATGATAGAAGCAAATTGAATCAACGAGCTGAGGCAGATGATGTTTATGATTCCATTACATCTTTTGAGTTTGTCTTCATCTTACATCTTATGAGGGATATCATGGAGATTACTGATGATCTTTGCCAAGCTTTGCAAGTAAATCTCAAGATATATTAAATGCAATGCATTTGGTGTCTACAACGAAGATACTTATTTAAAAATTTAGAGAAGATGGATGGGTTCCATTGTTGGAGAAAATTAAATTATTTTCTAATGATCATGGTATACAGATTCCTTATATGAGTTGTCCTTATAAAGGAGGCCGAGGTCGGTCTCATTCTGAAAGAGATCAACTCACCATGGAACATCATTTTCGAGTTAATATTTTTATGGTTACAGTTGATTCTCAGTTACAAGAATTAAACAATGGGTTTAAGGAAGATGTAATGGAATTGCTTGTTCTTAGCTCAGCTTTGGATCCTAGGGATGGTTATAGATCATTCAAAATTGAGGATATTTGCAAACTTGCAAATAAATTTTATCCTATGGATTTCTCTGAGCAAGAAAAATTGCATTTGAAATATCAGTTGGAAAACTATAAACTTGATATTTCCATACTTCCCGAGTTTCAGAAGCTATCAACCATTTCTGAGTTATGTCAATTGTTGGCAAAAACAAAAAAGTTGACAAGTTATCCTCTTATTGATAGATTGATCCGCCTTGGGTTGCCTTTACCTGTTTCAACTGCTACATCAGAACATGCATTTTCAACTATGAAACTCATTAGGTCTAAATTGCGCAATAGGATAGAAGATGGTTTTCTGGCTAGTTACTTGATTACGTACATTGAAAAAGACATTGATCGAGGGTTTGATGTAGATTCTATCATCCATGCTTTTGATATTATGAAAAAGCGTCGAGTTCAATTGAAGATGCCTAATTTTAGTATATAAATGCATGTAGAAATAATTACTACTTTTTGTAAGTGAATATGGGCAAAAAAATATTCTCAATTGTATAATCATCCTTTGGTACTCAACTATGTTGACAAGGAATATATAGTTCAATATTTTATCGTAACATTATTGATTTTTTCCATGTTAGTAGAAATTGGTATTGAACTTCAAATTTTATTTGTTAGAGGTTAAACGTACTTTGGCCCCCCTAAAGTCATAATCCTGGATCCGTCCCTGAGTACTCCTTCTCCACCTTCTCCCACAATCATTGTCCATTTCCCATCTTATTCTAACTTCCACAGCACTACTCTCAATCTCTTAGCCCAGCCCGTAGCCCCCTCTGCAATCGCTCTTCTGTTACCTGATCTCTCCTCCGCAAGCTATCCATCTTACACTCCAACTGCTACCATTTTCTTTCTTCACTCTCTCATATATATAAGAGTCACCGCTTATTCTTATTGTATATATAAAATGTATAACTGATAACTAGGGTTTGTAAATGGGTGAAGACAGAAGATGAAGGAAGATGAAGGAGAGATAGATGGAGGTGCTATGGTGGTCGAAGTAGGGTGAATAAGGAACTAGAGATGGCCTTGAAACAGTGGAGAAGGGAGAGAGAGAGAGAGAAAAAGGATTGATAAAAAATTTCACTTCTTTATAATTATTTTACAACTTTTCATATTTAGTGCAACTACTTTTGTTCTTCCATCAAATTGTTATTATTTTGTAGGGTAAATTATATTGATAATCTTTACATTTTATCCCTTCTGTAATTTTGGTCTCTACCCTTAGGAGTGTTCAAAAAAATCGATGGAACCAATAAATCAATTCAATCCAGTCCAAAACTTTTGATTTTCTCTGATTTTTTATTACATTCAATTTTAATTCTGATTTTGAAAATAGTGAAACCGTTCAAATTGGTCCGATTCCTAATTCTTAGGCTTTGGTTACGGGTCTGAACCAAACCAAACTATTATATTTTTGTTTATCATTTTTTATATTTTTATACGCAAAAATAAAAATATAGAAGTTTCTCATAAGATTTGAATACTAGTATTGATTATAAAATTGATAAACTTTAACTAATTTAATAAAAGTAATTATTTTTAGTTTGTTAATAACATAAAATATATATATATATATATATATATATCATATTTATTATTATATAAATGTAGAATCAAACTGAACCGAACCAAACTAGTAAAATTAATAAAATAAGTTCACTAAAAATAATCAAATACAAATTGAAAATTTAAAACTGCTTTTGGAAACTCCAAAACCAAATAAGTTTTGAATTTAAATTTGTAAAAATTATTTTTAAAATACACAATCAAATAAAATTTCAAGTTTGATAAAATTTTTTCAAAAATCTAATTATAAAATTAATTTGAAAATTCTAAACCATACGAATCATATATTTATATTTTCACCTAATTTTTTTTTTGGCCACAAATTGAATAAATTACATTTCAACCAATAATTTTATATTCAATTACATTTTAATTCCAACAATATTTTCACAATGCCTTTAGACACGGGCATACACTAGTATATATATTGAGTAGAAGGGTATTTTAGTCTTCTTCAGAAAATAACAATTTTCTTTAATAGAGTACATTTATTACCTTCTCAACTTTCACTACAATAAATGTCACTTTTGGCGACCAAAATATTGGTCGCCAAAAGTCAGAAATTTGGTCGCTGAAACAATTTAGCGACTAAAAGGTTTTGTCGCCAAGTTTGTCGCCTATACCCTGTCGGCGATAGTATTGGCGACTAAACTTTATTTGGTCACTGAAAGTGTAACATTTGCCTACTAAACTTCTTTTGGTCGACAAATGTTAGCTTTTCGCCACTAAAACCAGTAGTCGCTGAATGTGACTTTTGGCTACTAACATTCGTGTGGTCGGGGAATGTGTTACTTTTTGCTACGAAAGAATTAGTCACTGAAAGTGAACATTTGGCTACGAATCCGTACTTGGTTGGCAAACGTGACATTTTGGCCACTAATTTTTTAGTCACTAAAAGTTCTACATGAAAATTTTAACCAACTGTTAGAGACAAAATACTTTGGTCACCAATAGAATACATTACTTTTTGCCACCAAATGTTTTAGTCGCCAAATAATATCCTTTTTTTTCTGTGACTAAAAAATTTAGTGGCCAATAGTTTATTTCTCTCATTCTCAATTGTTTTAGCTACTAACTATTTAGTAGCAAAAAAAATTTTGGTTATGTTTTTGCTATTAAATTATTAGTCGCCAAAACATTTGATTACATATTTGGCTACCAAAATATTTGGTGGCCAAATACTTTTTGTTTTTGTTTTTTTTTTTTATTTTTTTCAAAAAAATTCTAAACAACCTGTATCCATTTTTAATACAACCTGTATCCTGTATAACCAATATAATCCATCAACGCTAAATATATTATCAACCATTCAAGCATTCAACAATGTGCACACATTTTAGTTCCAACCATCCAAAACATTAATATTGAACGTCCCATTCTATGTATAATACAAATTCCATACGAACCAAGTCTAATCCAACGTCAATAATTTCATTTCATACATAATACAGGACTAACCAAAACCATTCATTTCATTTCTATATATAATACAAATCATTAGTTTGTATGTCCAAAACCATCATATCCACATTTGTATGTCCAAAACCGTATCCACATTTGTTTGCCCTACCGTACTTGTCAAAAAAAATCATATCCACATTTGTATGTCCAAAACCATCTGCAAATTAGAAAAAAATCATTAGTTTGGTGCCTATAAAGGCACTTCCGGATGACATATAGCAACTGTATTAATTTCAAACATGAAAAGACAAGGAGAGTAATAGCTATTAACTAATGAAAGGCATCCAAACATGGAATGGTAGACGAACATCGATTCTATGACATTTTCAACAGTGGTTCGGGGGCCGTTTCGCATTTTCGCCCCCCAAACCCCTTTTTGTTGACTAAATTAATGACATTTTCAACTCTAAATCACCACAAACTAGCATAAATCACCACAAATATTAATAATTTTGACAACAAAAAATTGTAAATCTTCTTACGATAAAGAAATAGTAAATTAATATAAGCTTCCCATTATCCACCTATTTCTCCATCCAGATGCAACATAAAATTTAACAAATACGAATAATATATGTGTTTAACTTTTTACATCTAACACGATTTTTAGTATAAATTGCAAAAATTGACAGGAACTAATTATCATGTTTGTCCTGAACAAAAGTAAGGAAATTTATCTATGATGAGAAACTAATTACCATGTTGGTATCAAATTCACTGCTGTGAACAACCAATAGTTAGTAGTCCCAAGAATAAGAGCATTTTTCGACCCTAGAAATCGAACCACCAATGCAGCAACCAAAGAAAAAATCGTAAAAAATAAATACAAAATCCCAAGTGAAATCGTCCCTAAATCTTCCTCCTGAAACCAAAATTCAATTGAAATTAATCAAAATATTAGCCTAAAAATAATGAATTATTCAACGGATTAATTTCACTTCTATCCCTTAAACTATCACCATTTTCTTTATTTCATCTTTAAAATTTCACTTGCATTTAGTCCTTCAAATTTTTGATATCTATGGAGAATATCAGAAATGGTTGCAATTTATAGAGTTGGTTATTTAACTGTGCGTGTATTTTTTGTCCTTCTTCCTGATAGTTAAGATATTTATAGTTTTCTCTTAACAGTGCTTCTATAAATAATGAATTTTAGTAATGAACTGGCACTGGTTCACAATAGATGGTTGAACAGGGCTTTGTAGCATTACCAGTAATGACTCGATGTTGGGAAGACTCTATACCTGAAGAAGATGACCACAATGAATCAAGTGAGGTGTGGGTGTCTGGTCGAGCTACCATTGCTAGAGATTTGTCTAATCTTCTACAGCAAGGTTGGCTTAGACCTACACAGCAAATGGTTAGTCTATAAATGTAGTTAATTGTAGTCTTTGTGAACATGGCTATACAAGAATTTAATAATAATTTCCTTGGTCTTAGTGTATATCTATACCTGTGAAATTATATATGTTTTTAGGCTCTTTCAAGAATAAATCACTACAGTTAATGAAAATTCAATGAAATCACTTACTTTTTCACCATAGCAAGTTACATGCTTAATACTATCTTTTGAAATCACTTGGTGCTGTGTTTTTTACTCCAACAACCAAACAAAGCATACTAAAAGCAAGTTTTCTCTTCAGCATGGAAAATAATATGATTTGTTTCTGGAAAATCAATTTTTGTGTGCTCCAAGAATGAACAGGATTTTATTGGAAACCATTTTTTTGTAAAATAATCTCTATAATATTGTAGTCTATACACCAGAACTAATGAGTTGCCAAATTCAGTTGCAAGAAAATAAATATAATGCTTCAAAAGAAAACAAATTATAAAATTGTGACTTTTATGTAGAGTAATGTAATCGGATTTATTTCCCGAGTAAGAAAATCCAACACCAGCTGGAGAGTCCAAATATATGATGTTGGAAACCTGGCAGACAGAGATCATCAATTTAGGAGCTTATTTAAGAAATATGGGTAATATAAATGCTATTTGACATTCAAAACAAATTTATAACCTTGGACCAGCTATTTGACATCCAGTAATGTAGTTTGGGAAGGCTTCCCTTTGTCTCTCCCGTTTCAAAATTGAATGGTCCTGCATAATATGATCTAAAGATTGTTTCACACATTACTTGAATTAAATGAATTGAAGATAAAAACAATTAATTTTCCAAGAATTAAGTGCTTTCAATAGTTGAAAGTAGAAGAGGGGAAACAAAACCATTAAGTCTGAAATTCCATATCTTAAAAACACAGAAATTATCCCAGATCAACGAAAATCTAAACCAAAGCACAGCTATTTTATTTGATTCAAAGGGCCATAGCATCTGAATCCACAAACTGGTTATTTGAAAACTCAAAAAGAGCCCCAAGAATCATAAAGATATGGGAGAGGTTATAGAAAAAGTTATACTTTTTGAGAGAGAAGTTGTATATTTTGTGAGACGAAAATTACGATTTTTGTGATGAAAGTTATGAATTTTGAAGTTATAATGAGCACCTAAAAGTTATGTATAACTAAAGTATACTTTTTGTGAGAGAAGTTATATATTTTCTGAGAAGCAAAAAAGTTATATTTATAGTGAAGAAAAAGAGTTATACAAAATGAAGTTATGTTTTTTGCATAAGGTGCATACGATCACATCATAGCATTCTCCTAAAGGGATTTCAAGAATTCTCCATCCTATTTTGAAGTATGTGGCTATGGAAACAAAATACACACTTCACATATTTTGAAGTACACAGTATAAAATTTTCATCTATGCCTCAATCCAAGGAATCCAAGCAGTTTCAGTGATTCACAAGATTAGCAAAAGCTTCAACCAAGTTTTCCTCAACAAACCAAAAAAGACAATATGGAAACCATACAGTAACACAAAGAAATAGGTCCAAGACTCACAAATATAGGAAATAGCTAACCATCAATTTGTAAGTGTTACTTCAAGAGGGAAATAGGTCCCCAAAGAGTCATTAGCATTTGAGATATGAGGTTCAATTCAAATGTATTGTTTTGTTACTGTTGATATAAATTATAATCGTGCAAAGGTAGGCTACAATTACAAAGTGCATTCAAATTTCAATTTTTATCCAAACAATAGAAACTAAATTTGCCAGTAATATATTTCTGTAATTCCACGCTTACCTTAACAACAAGAGTTCCCATCTCTTCATAATGATAGTATTCAATGTGTTTCAACCGTAACGCACTATTAGGTACTTAGCAGTAGTCCCTAAGAGAATCTAGAGTAGCTTGTTGTAGCAACTAAATATCAAGCATGGCAAGTATACTTACATTTATAAGGAAAGGTATAAACGGATTTGAAGAAGACTGCTTGGAAGAATAAGTCTGATTTAGAATAGCAAGAGTAACCAAACGTTGAGTAGCTTTAAGCATCTTCTTGTTCTGTAACAAGATGTAGCTTATTAATTAGCAATCACCAAGCAATACCACAACCCAGAAAATTCATCATTCACATTAGGTATCTATGAGGTCGCAAAATTTAATATACAATTCAGGGAGAAAGTGAGGGAGAATAAGGCTTGCATCCAACCAGATAATCAAATTTACTTATGCCAAAAAATAATTTATGATGATATGCCATCTCAATTAGACAGTGAAATGATAAATGCGAAATAACAGAGCTGCAAAGGGTCCAACAAATAAAGATATGAGGAATGGCAATCTTTTCATTTAAAATTACAAATAGATAGCATACTCAACATTTTTTCCCTAATTCATTTGTCTTCTCTTTCACTCACACAGTGTTAAACACAAAGCAAGAAAAGGGCAAGCAAAGAGCAGTCAGATTAGTAGGTAGACATCTAGCAATGTTTAAGTGAAACCCTAACCAAAAATAAATTTAAAAAAAAAAATTTAGAAGAAGAAAGAGAACATGACTAAAGTGAAAAAAGAAAGCAAAGATTAGTGAAACCCCAAAATAAAGTTGAGTTGAATCAGAATTTCAATTGACACGAAAGTTATGACTAGCATAAAGAGCAAAATTAGCACCCTTTCAGTGTTAATAAGCACCCATACTAGAAATTCCCAAAATCGCATAACTCAATTTTCAAAAACCAAACAGTGTGCATATTCGTGTTTGCATACAAAACCTAACAACAATTCCAAGTTCAATCTCAGAACCCAACACCTCATATGGCCAATAAACAAAGCCCTAACTCTCCAATCAGCTAAATTTAGTATCTTAATCAAGTATGAAAATCTCCATTACAATTGATACATAAAAAAATTATATATATATATAGAGAGAGAGAGTTGCCCCTAAGAGATTGGAGAGGCGAGAGCAAAGAGTGAAATGGAGGGGGCGCGGGAAATTGGAGTTGAAATCCGCCATGATTTCATCGAAGGGCCGTTGATCTCCGGAGTTGAGTAGACCCATCAACGACTTCTAATCTTCTTAAAAATTTTGAAGTATAGGTATAGGTATAACACAAACAATACCTAATTGAGCAGACCCATCAATTGACGGTGGTGCTCGTGTGCGATGGCGGTGATGCTCCCGTACCCGACGACGATGGAGAAAAAGGCAAGAGAGAGAGCTGGAGGAGGACAGAGGCGTGAGAGAGTGAGAAAGAGAGAGAGAGAGTCACAAAGTGAGAGACAACTGAGCGTGTGGAAGTGTATTTTTTATATATAGATTTCTTTCCCGACTAATTTTTGTAGTCGCCAATAATAAATAATGACGTTTTTCCAACTAACGACTTTAGTAGCCAATTAAATTTCCCTCCGAAATCTGAAGTCCAATTTAAAAAAATTTTAATTATAATCGCCGACTAAAATTTAGTCGGTAAAAGTAAATTAATACCGACTAAATTATTTTTAGTAGCTAAAGATTATACATTTAGGGACCAAAATTTTTTTAGTCGCCTATAGGGTAATTTTTTAGCGACTAAGTCATTTTTAGTCACCTATTAAGTAACTTTTTGGCTACTAATTGTATTTTAGTTGCGTATTGGGCTATTTTTAGTGACTAACTGTTTTTTAGTCGTTGATCGGGTCATTGTTTAGCTACTAAGTCATTTTTAGTCGCCTATTGAGTAAATTTTTAGCTACTAATTGTGTTTTAGTCACCTATTGGGCTATTTTTAGCGACTAACTATTTTTTAGTCGCTGATTGGGTCATTTTTTAGCTACTAATTATGTTTTAGTCGCCAATAAGTAATACACAGCTACTAAAAAAATTTAGTAGCTAAAATATGAAACATTGCCGACCAATTCAAATTTTAGTCACCAAAGGGCTAACTTTTGGCGACTAAATTAATTTTAGTAGCCAAATTTGGTTGCCAAAAGTGTAATTTCTTGTAGTGTTTCTAGCTACATTTGTTTGATTCATAGAAGGGAGGAGATTAAAAGTATGGTGAGATTAAGTGAGGAGATTATTAGTGTGGTGATATTAAATTGAAGATATAGGATAAAGAGTGTTTGTTTGTACACCATCAGATTAGTAATACTATAAATAGTATTAATATATAAATTAACATTTTCTAATTTTTAGTATTTTTTTAATATTATAATTATTTTTTTTTGTTCTAAAAAATATATATTTTGCTTAAAAATTATTTAAAAATTCACTAATTTCAAATTCCAACCCCACATGGGATTAGTAGTCTCACCAATGGGGAGAGATTACTAATCCAATGGAATAGTTAATCCCCTCATTCATGTTCTCAACCAAATACTCTTTAGGTGGGTTTTACGGACTATTAGTCCAATCCCCCTCCCTAAAGAGTCAAATAAACATGGCCTTTGTGTTGTTTTGGAAAGTGTTAAAAAAATTTACTCTTTTACTTATTATGAAAAGATGTGTAAAAAATAAAGAAGTGATGTAATCCAAATAAGTCAAAAAAACTAATAAATTGACTTTTTTTATACTTTTCACAAAAAAAAAAGAATAAAAAGAATAATAATAATAATAAATTAATTCATTCTTAACAAGTGCCCAAGGTGAGAAACAGGATACCTACTGTGAACGACATTGCATTGGTGTGTTTTCTTGTAACCACTCAAAGCTGAAGCAGCCAACCCCTCATTACTGGCTTCCTGAGAAGGGAATTTCCACAAACGGCTCCAAATGAAGCACCAATACCCCATTAGTACAATATTATTTGTTTTGGGCATACTTTCACGACTTTATTCTTCCCTTAGGAAAAGTTCTTGTGCTAATTTGAAGGAGTTAGTCAACTTATGTAGCGGACTATGATTTACTCATAGAGGGATGTGGGATGAACACTCATTAAGCTCTCACAAAGCTATTGTCGCCTAACAGACAAGCTTTAATGCTTTTAATTTTTTTTTAATTAATACGACATAAAACTTATAAAAGAATACTTTTTTAAGATCAAAATGACACAATCAAAACTTGCAGTTAATTGATTGTGTAACACCATTTTATAACGAGGGATTGGTGGTTCAAATTGAATGGAGTTTGACACACTTTGTGTTGTCCAATTCCTTTACTAATAACTAACCCCTACTGATAAATATTGTGTGATAAACAAAATTAAAATCAAAATTAAATTTTGGGTGGAAGTAAAAAAAATTCTCAAAATAAATTGACCATTTAATCTTTTTTTTTTTTTTCCCACACAAGTCTATATAGGGGTGCAGGAAAAAATGATAGAACCGAATCAACCACTTAAGACCAATGGAAAATTTAGTTTTTGGTTTGTTTTGATTTTAATTTTTGATTTTTATTTTTATACCAATATAAACCAAATCAAGTAAAATATTATATTTAAATATTAGTCTCTTTTAATTCTTCATTTATTTTTCATGTGAAATTTTGCCAGTTTGATACAAATTTCTTTAAAAACATTCTATGAATCCCTCTTCTACATCAAACTTGCACAGTTTGTTTTGGTTCCTCAATTAACAAAATTGAAAGGTTTGGTTCAATACTAAATTATTCCTTAGATTCTACCGAACCAAATCACTTACACCCCTAGTTATACATCAATAGAAAATAGTTGTTAGTGGCGGAATGTAAAAACACAAGGGTATCAAACAAGGTTCTAAATCGTACCGGCCGGTTCGTACTAGAAAATTGGATTGCCGAGTCGAATATTGGCCGGTATACCGGTGAGAATGAAATTCGCCTCTGTAGTGGCCGATTCCCGATACGTATCGGCCTGAATCCGATACGTGAACGATACAGTTCCGATACATGTATTCTATCACCGGTACGACTGCAAAAATGGAGCAAAGCACCTACAGAATAATTGAGCAAAGGTGTGTTCTCAAACAGGCTTTCAAGCTTTGAATCGAACCCAAACCCATCACTGCTTTCAAGCTTCTTCGTTGAAGGTGTGTTCTCTTAAGCTCTGTTTATATATTTGTCATGCTCTGTTTTTCTTTTAGCTGAATAACCCACACACAGGCTCTGTTTTATATATTTGAAGGTTTAAGTCATGCTTTTGCTAGTTGTTGTGTTCGGTTATAATTTGTTTTTTTTTCTTCTTCTTCTTCTTCTTCTGTGGTAATTTATTATTTATATTATGGTATGGGATGAGAATGTGATATATTTTAATATATATTTATGATTGTTCAAATATTTATATATATATAATTTTTTTTTCTTCTGTTTTGTAGTTGATATAAGCCATTGTTGTGTGGTTATATTTGATGAAAGGTAAAGTAAAACTAAGATACCTTTATTCAATTCAACTAAGAGATTACAAGTCATGTTTATATATCAGTACAGGTAACAAACTAACAAACTATTAACCTAACCACACTTCTAACTAACCTTTCCCCTTAGCAATGTAGTACCTGTTATAGCGACCCCGGTCTTTTCCCATTTGATTATTGTATCCGGACTTAGGTTCTGTATATTTTGTCATTGTATAATTGTTGTTGCCGTCCTTTATTTTTTCTCATTTGGAGTTATAGGATGTGTTGGGCAAGTTTGTTTCAGGTTGGTTGGGTTCGTAAACCAAGTGTTGCTGTCCAGTTTTTGGGTTGGTCGCTCGAGCGAGGGCTTGGTCGCTCGAGCGAGGGTTGTATTTTGTGTCTGGTGGCTCGAGCCAGATTTTCTTCGCTCGAGTGAGCGATTGCGTCTAGTATAGGCCTGAGGGCAGTGTTTCTTCGCTTGAGCCAGATTTCCTTCGCTCGAGCGAGCAGTCTGTCGCTCGAGCGTGCTCCTGGGTTGCAGACCTGAAGCATTGCATTCTTGGCTCGAGCGAGCTTGTCTTCGCTCGAGCAAGGGTTTCGTGTGTCTGGTCGCTCGAGCGACCAAGTGTTTGCTCGAGCGAGCCTGTCGGGTTTATATACTCAGCAGCGGTTTTTAAAACGTTTTTTCACGTTCTTTTGATCCTAAAAACCCTAGTTCCGAGTTCTCTCTCCCTCTACTCACCTTCTTTCTTAGGTT